GTGCGACCCGGTCCCGGTGACAGCGGCTTTGAAGCAACGCAGGGCCGCGGTGCCGGCCACCTGCTCCGAGGTGCCCTTTGATTCCGCTCCAAGAGGCGTTGAAATCCCGTCCAGGTTTTCCACTTGGTGGCGGCTCCAGGGCGTCAGCTCGGGACTCCACACCAAGCAGGTCCCGGGAAGACAGGCTGGTGTGTGCGAAAACCAGGAGTGGAGTTTTTTTTTTGCCGGGCTGAGCCTGGATCCGCTCCTCTTAGTCCCCCAAGCTTGCACACAGATGGAACGGAAAAGTCTAGAATCGCCACCCTTGGTGGGGGACTGAGCCCAATGACAGTCCCCGCTTACCCCAGTCCCTCAAAAGAAGAAAACAGACCCTGCAGCCTGTGCTCCTCCCTCTCCTGCACAGCGCCCCACTCCCCCCACCCCCTTTTCTTGACCTTGCTTTCCTGGGTAGGAAAGTAATCCCTCTTTGACCTTCCAACCCTGGGGCTCTCTTGGCCCGCTCTGCCCCTCTGTCAGCTCAGCTCAGTCCAAATCAGGGGAACCCTAGTTCCTCTTTCTCCGCAGAATTGGTGTTGGATTCTGTGGTAGAGAAGAGGGGGGCCCTTCTCCCAAGCGTTTGAAGGGCCTGGAGCCAAACCATTGGTGGTTTCAGGTATGGAGACCTCCTGCACACACCCACACACCTGTTCACCACCACCACCACCACCACCACCACCCCACACACATGCACACAACACACCTCCACACGGGAGAAACAGACACGGGAGTGTCACACAGCACAGCAGCGCCCCTCCCCCCAATAGAAGGGGATCGGCAGGAAGGCGCAATCCTGGGCCCCGCAGCAGCCTGCTCCCCCCTCCACTGAGAATGCAGTTCACAGACAGCCAGGCTTCCCGGAGCCAAGGTGTCCTACTCCCACCCTGAGAATCCACTTAACCGATTTTATACTGCACAGCGCACACCCAGCTCACCTCCATCTTCCCACGGCCCAGCAGGCAGCCAGCACCCACAGGGACAAACCTTTGTCTCAAGTCTCCCCCAACACACACACACACACACACACACACACACACGCCCCTCCACCCACAGCTCTTCCGGCTGAGGAACAGACGAGGAAATCCCCCAAGCACCCCTCTGTGAAGATTGCTTCCTCGGAAACAGGTTTCCTTGGATGGAATGTTCTAATTAAACATGGAAGGAAAACCGGCATTTGTAGGTTCTAGCCCACAATTCCTCAGTGGCCATAAATCTCAGCCCCCGTCCCCTGGTTCAGGGCCATTACATTTCCTAAACCCACAGGCAGCCAGGAATCCAGGAGCCGTCCACGCACCCCTTTCTGGCAAACCTCAGCCAAGCCAACAGCCTGGGCCTCGGGGCTCAGGCTGGTTGCCGGGCTCTCCCCCAGCTGCTGCTCATTGTCCTGGCAAAGAGCAAATAGTGCCCCTCTTACCCCCTTGCCACCCGTCCCTTCCCCCCACCATCTCCCCACCAATGGGCACCACACAGAAAGGTCCCCTGTTCAGGAACCTGCCCACCCATCAAACCGAGAGTCCAGAGAGGGGGGAGCCGAATTCACCGCTGCCGCTCAACAGATCTCTGTAAGCATCTAGAATCACGGAGTTTCTCCGAGGTGGTGAGGGAGTGGGCATCTGAGAGGTGACCCAGGGCACCCCGCGAGTGGCAGAGGGGAAGGAACTGACTCAGAGAGCTGAAGGCCCCCCCCCTCCCCGCGAGCTGACTGCCCAGGGAGGGGCAAGAGCGCCAGGAGTAGAACCCTCAGTCCTGACCCCCAGCCTTTGCCAACAGCACGGTTGAGATGTTGAGACTCAGGAGGAGACCCGTGGCTGCTCCCATCGGAGAGCTTACAGCCTGTTCCTTACAAACGTAAACCCCCCACCTCGTTCATCCCCAGCAGCCACCAGACAACCGTGGTTCCGGAACGTCAGAGCTGGAGTGTCCATCAGACGTACCAGATACACCCCATGAGACTGTGCTGTGAAACGGAGGCCCTGGGGCACGGCCTGCCTGTCTCACCGACACCCGAAAAGTTTGAAGACACCCTCTCCCGGGGCCTCGGTCACTTTGTCTAGAGCAGTGGTTCTCAACCTTCCTCATGCCGCGACCCTTTAATACAGTTCCTCATGATGTGGTGACCCCCCCAACCATAAAATTATTTTCGTTGCTACTTCATAACTGTAATTTTGCTACTGTAAACAATATGTAATTATACATGTGTTTTCCGATGGTCTTAGGCGACCCCTGTGAAAGGGTCGTTCGACCCCCAAAGGGGTCTCGACCCACAGGTTGAGAACTGCTGGTCTAGAGGTTGCAGTCATTGGGAAGAGGAAAGAACACAGGTTTGTGCAGTTCTGTGATTCACAGCTGTGTGACCCCGGGCGGGCGACTTGACCCCTCTGGGCCTCTGTTTTCTCATCCATACAAATGGGAATAATATCAGCACCATTTCCTTCCACTATGATCAAGATGAAGCGAGGTGACAGTTAAAGCACAGAGCACAGGACGTATTGCCGGATATTGAATGCCATCATTGTTGTTTCACCTTAAGCGAGATGCCACATGCTCCGCGTTTCCCTGTTTTGCCTGCCCAGGAAGTTCTTCCGGATGTCTAACCTCTGAACCGTCCTGCTGCATTGGAAGGCGACTCTCTCCTGCGGGAGCACCAACGGGCACCGTGAGCGCCTGCCCGCTGAGCACTCGTGGAGGACTGGGCACAGGCAGGAAACGAAGCCGGACTGAGCAGGTCCCCCGAGAAGGGAGAGCAGAGGGTGTGACTCACCCCTGCCCTGCCCGCAGGGCCAGTCCCTGGCAGGCGAGGGCCAGGGCCTTTGGTGCTCGGCCTCCCCCCTCCTGTCCCCCGCCCCTCATTCTGTGACGCTCTGGCCTCATGTCCTAGGTCCCCTGACGCGTTGGGCCGTGCTGGCAGCCACTGCGCCCTGTGGCCCCTCAGGCCTGTTTCCAATCTGGCGCTGCCATCAGGGCCCAGGTGTCCTGGGTCGGCTTCAGGAGAGACGTTCTGTCCCCCAGGAGCAGCTGCCAGGCCCGCACGCTCCTCGCCAGGGCCCTTGAGGCCACCTGCTCTGTTGCTAGGCCACGGCTGGGAGGCAGGGCTCCTGGCTCCCGTCTGGCCTCTCCCTGTCACGGTCTCCATGCTGCTGTCCGCACGGCTTCGTCCCACAGCTCCCTGGCCCACCCCCGCGGCCGTGGCTGAATTATTCACACAAGTGCTGAGGCAGCTGTTTGTGCAGCTCACGGGACAGAACAAACACACCTCTCTCCTTGCCACCATCCGTGTGGCAAGAGCCGCAGGCTGGGCATTTGCCTGACCCGGGAGGGACGGGCTCAGAGACCAGCCGAGGCCACGATGTGCCAGGCCGGGAGCGAGGACCTGCTCTGCCACCTGTCCCTGCGGCTACCCCGTCCCCAGTCTTCCCTGTCCTCCCCGGCAGAGGGCAAGAGTCTGGAGAAGGTAAAAACATCTAATTCACCGACGTCGCCTCCCCAGAGAGGACGTGACCGCAAACTCCTAGCAGCCGCTGCCACCATCTCTGTGCCCACCTCGTCACAATGGCGACCGGATCAATGCTTGCTCGCCAATGACATCTCCTCTCCAGATCCAGTGGCCGCTGAACCTCGAGGCCCACCCAGGGTCCTCACAGGCCACACTCTGCCTGCCCTGCTGTGGAGGCCGATGCTAAAGCCGCAGGTCCGGCCCGCAGCATCCGGGAAGGAATCCTGGACTTGAACACTGGTCCTGCTCTGCCACTAGCTGGCTGTTTGGCCTTGACTGGTTCCTTGATGTCTCTGGGCCTCTGTTTTCTCATCTAAAATAGGGCTAAAGCCCGGCTGGTGTGGCTCAGTGACTGAGCATCAACCTATGAACCAGGAGGTCACGGTTCAATTCCCGGTCAGGGCACATGCCTGGGTTGCAGGCTCGATCCCCAGTGGGGGGCGTGCAGGAGGCAGCCGGTCCATGATTCTCTCATCATTGATGTTTCTATCTCTCTCTCTCCTTCTCCCTTCCCTTCTGAAATAAATAAAAAAATGTATATTTTTTAAAAAATAAAATGGGGCTAAATAATTGCACCACATAGGCCCGTGAGAATACACTGGGGAGAAGGCTAGGCGAAGGCTGAGGGTCTTTTCTGACTCCTTGGGGTGGACCCCAGGCTCTGAGCACCTGCCCAAGCTGACCTTCCATAGCCCTGGGTCCCCATTCCTCGTCCTCAGGTCAGGTTGCAGGGCCAGAAGCATTCTCTTCCCAAAACACGTTCCCCAACCCCAGTCACCCCAGCTTTCTCCCTGTAACAACTCCCCAGCCAGATTCTGGCTCCGAGGCTCTCTGCATGGCCACCCTGACACCCCCATGTGCTTTGGCTCAGCCCCTCACACCCTTTGCACCCCAAAAGATAAAATCTGGTCCCCCTTCTCCTGGCCAGCCCTGCGTGGGGCGGCCCCAGCCTCAGTCAGAACCTTGGCCTCGGGCCTCTGTTGAGACACCCCCTTGGTGCACTGTGGAAGCACCTGGGCTTGTCAATTACGAGCTGGGTGACCTGGGACAAATGGCTCAGTCCCTCAGACGACCAGTCTGCACCATAAGAATGTCGGTGTTTAATGTTTTTTCTTTTTAAAATATATTTTTATTGATTTCAGAGAGGAAGGGAGAGGGAGAGAGAGATAGAAACATCAATGATGAGAGAGAATCATTGATCGGCTGCCTCCTGCACGCCCCCCACTGGGGATCGAGCCGGCAACCCAGGCATGTGCCCTTGACCGGAATCGAACCTGGGACCCTTTAGTCCGCAGGCGATGCTCTATCCACTGAGCCAAACCAGCGAGGGCTCGGTGTTTAATCTTGATTTGGCTTTGGACCCCTTTGGGAATCTAATGAACCCGGTGGACCTCTCCTCCCTAGAAAAATGTATATCCAAATATAGACACAGCATTCTGGCCATAATTGGGCGGGGAGTCTTACAGGCTCCGGATAAAATCCCCTGACCCAGTCGAGCCCAGTTCTCTGCTCTCCTCACCCTCCACACCTTGATGCTTCTGCCCTGGGGCAGGGGTAGGGGGTGGGGGGGGAGGGGGGCTTGTGGTCTATCCCCACAGTCCTCCCTCCGGCCTCCAGGGCCCTTCCCCCAGCACGCCCCGGCCGCCGCCCCGCAGT